TTGAGGTGGCATTTTAAATTAGTTACAATCTTTTAGAAAGAATTTGGCAATATCCATCAAGAATCACAAAATTTTCTGTACTTTTTTACTCAGTGACCATATGGATATGATCCTAAATGTATTAAAAAAACAAACAAACACCATTTTTCCCAATATGTTCATAGTCACATTATCTTTAAAAGTGAGAAACAAATCACAGGTATAATTATTAGGGAAATAATTGCATAAATTATAATATGTGTTCTTGAAATACTTTGTACCCATTATAATTTTGTCAACAACGGGAATTTGATAACAGGGAAAGATAGTTATCAGCATGTCGAGTGAACAAGATCAAAATTTGAAATGTGTTCATTATGATCATTAGTATGTGGAAGAAAAAAGAATTGACGGAAATCACACCAAAGTGTTACATCTGGTTATTTTTGGATGATGAGCTCATGAGTAATATCTTTCTTTCTTTTAAAAATCATTTTATTGGGGGCTTATCACAATCCATACATACATCCATTGTGTCAAGCACATTTGTACATTTGTTGCCATTTTCAAAACATTTTCTTTCTACTTGAGCCCTTGGTATTAGCTCCTCATTTTCCCCCCTCAAAGCTCTCTCTTACACATATATGCATGCCCTTGGATTTGTTTCTCTAGTCAGCCCGGCCTAACACAAAGAGGCACTAATATTCTCATTCTCTAACTTTTCTTATCATTTTAGCTATACCTTTTATAAAGTTCCTGCATCTTTCCTGGGCGATTGACAGATTGTTAAATAAGCTTTAGCCCTGTATTTCCCTAAGAGGGCAATGCCACCTCCTTGGGCACGCTGGACTGATTCCAGGGGCTGCCAAGCAGATGCCGACAGTCTATCCTGGATTATGGGATACCGTATAAAAATTTTTCCTTGCCAGGAGAGCACTGTTTGTTTGTTTTGTTTTGTTCTTCTGAAAAGAGGATGGTTGGGCACATAAGTTAGGCTTTAAACTATGAAATTCCTTTTCTTTGGGACCAAGGAGACTCCCATGTAAACTCTAAGGAAAACAGTCTCCTTAATGTCCTTAAGTCTAATAGATCAGGTCGGCACTGAGTTGAGGTCAGCTCCTCCCCTGGCTTCAGGTGATTGCTGGGTATTCAAGCCTCAGCTTGTAATTGAGATCTTTCCATCTTCTCCCTTGGGATGGGAGAAGAGAGACAGATTTGCAAACACATTCCATGGAATGTAGTTAAACCCAAACCAAACTCACTGCCATCGAATGGATCCCAACTCACGGGCGACATGATAGGGCAAAACAGAACTGCCCAGTGAGTTTCTAAGACTCTAAGTCTTACAAAGCAGAAAGCCTCATCTTTCTCCCAAGGAGCAGCTGGTGCTTTCAAACTGCTGACCTTGCAGTTAGCAGCGCAGCTCACCATTAAGGCTCTTGGAATATAATTAGGCTATCTCTAAACTCATTCTGTGCCATTGTAGACGAGAACAACTGTAACCGTCCCTGAGATGAGATCTGGAAGTTGAAGAGTTCCAACAATTGGAAACGAAGCAGCAAGTCCAAGGATTCGGAAACACCTTTAACTCCAACATGAACCCAGAAAGATGGCCTTTCTAAAAATTCAGTACTCTGGGTACAGTGGAGGGAATTTAATATTGATTGAGACCATACAGATAAGTAAGATTGCAAAAGAGAGTTAAGTAATTTTTAAAAGAGTGGCCATTTAAAAGCATTTGTTTTGTATAAAGAAAACATTTCCAAATATTTTGGCCCATTCTTACTTTAGAAATCATTCAGAGCCATTTCTCCTAAGCTTTCCCTATAAAGAGAGAGAATGTCTCCCAGACTAGGAGAAATTACATTTTGCATTTTACATGTGAGTGGAAGCACACCTCCAAATCAAATGTTTGTCTTGTCCTAAAGATCGAAACAGATTTCTGTTCCACAAAAGCTGATTTAATCCCTCTAACCAAATAAAGCACCATTTGATTATTAAAATATTTGCCAATGCAGCTACAGCCTAAAGGACATGTTCCTCCCTCCCACCTGTTTCCCTCCTCCCCCCTTTCTTTCCTTTCTCCCTTGATGTTCAAACTCAAATGCCCAGAAAGGCCAGGCAGGCAATGCAAGCCAAAATGCTGGATGTGAGAAGGAGTGCTGGGGCGATGGGGGGCTGGAGAATCCAGGCTCCAGCTAATGTGGGAGCCACAGCAGCAAGAGGCCATTGGTACCTTGCTGCAGCACAGGCCCAGGGCTGCCAGATAATCCAGTTTTCAAATGCCAGCAGTCTAGATCTTCCATGAAATAATTCAGGTGTTTAATAACCTGTCACCAATTCAAATAAATATTCATTTTAACCTGGGCGGGTCAATAGTGCATCTGTTTAGGTCTGAGGATCTCATTAGATCACGGAGCCATCATATAGATCCGTGCTTGTTAGAAAGCAGTACACGTGCTCCGGGAGCCCTCAGCATGCCCTGGACAGTGTGTAAAAGGCTTTACTTCAAAGACATTCGTTTAGATCATTCCTCACATTAACACAATAATGAGTGGAAAATGATGACTCCGTTTTTTGTTTTTTGTTCAGTAAATAATTTTTATTGGGGGCTCTTACAGCTCTTTTAACAATCCATACATCAGTTGTATCCAACACATTTGTACAATTGTTGCCATCATCATTTTCGAAGCATTTTCTTTCTGCTTGAGTCCTTGGTATCAGCTCCTCATTTTTTTCCTCCCTTCCCCATCCTCCTACCCTGGTGACCCCTTGATAATTTATAAATTATTAATTTTTAATTTAATTTTTATTTTATTGGGGGCTCTTACAGCTCTTAACACAATCCATACATACATCCATTTTGTCAAACACATCTTTATATATGTTGACATCATCTTTTTCAAAACATGATCTTTCCACTTGAGCCCCTGGCATCAGCTCCTCATTTCCCCCTCCCTCAACCACTTTCCCTCTCTCCTTCATTCCCCCTTGATAATTTATAAATGATTATTTTTTCATGTTTTACACTGACTGCTGTCTCATTTCACCCACTTTTTTGCTGTCCGTCTCCCTGGGATGAGGGCCATACACTGATCATTGTGATCAGTTCCACCTTACTCCTGCCTCACCCTCCTAGTATTGCTGTTCCCCTTATTGATCCTGAGGGCTTTATCTGTTCTGGATTCCCTGTATTTCAAGCTCTTACTGTACCAGTATACATGTACTGGTCTAATCAGATTGGTAAGATGGAATTGGGGTCATGGTAGTGGGGTGTGGGGGAGCATTAAATAACTAGAGGAAGGTTGTGTGTTTCATTGGTGCTGCACGGCACCCTGACTGGCTCTTCTCTTCCTTGTGGCCAATCTGGCAGGGGATGTCCAATCGACTACTGATGGGTTTTGGGTCTCCACTCTGCTCTCCCCCTCATTCCCACTGATATGCTTTTTGTTTGTTTTGTTTGGGGTCTTTGATGTCTGATACCTGATCCCATCATCGACACCTCATGGTCACACAGGCTGGTATGCTTCTTCCGTATGGGCTTTGTTACTTCTCAGCTAGATGGCCGCTTGTTTATCTTCAAGCCTTTAAGACCCCAGAGGCTATATCTTTTGATAGCCAGGCACTATCAGCTTTCTTCACCACATTTGCTTATGCATCCGCTTTGTCTTCAGTGATTGTGATAAGAAAATTGAGCATAGAAGAGAACGATCAAATCACACACACCATAAAGTACTAATGAATGCAAAGCACTCATGCCGTTACAATAGAGGGCTTGGGTGTCTCTGTGCACTAGGCATGGGGTTGCTAACCTCAGGGTTCGCGATTCAAACCCACTAGCAGCTCCATGAAAGGAAGATGAGGCTGTCTGTACCTGTAAAGGTTAGCAGTCTTAGAAACCCTGTGAGTTGCTCATGAGTTAGAAATGACTCCATAACAGTGGGCTTTGGGTTGATCACTGTAGTAGTGGAAAGAGGAATCTACCTGAAATAATCAAGAGAAACATAGAATAAACAAGAGAAACTGTTGGCTGTTGGTCATCTCTTTGTCCACAGGACCTTTGTATGTAGATTGGGCTTCCTCACTGCAAGGTGGCCTCGGAATAGTTGGATTTCTTATATAGTGGCACAGAGTTCCAAGAGCGGCCTTCTAAGAGACAAGAAGTGGACGCTTCTTGTCCATACCACCTGGGCAGACACTGGTATAGTGGCTTCCATCATATTCTGCTGATTCGGGGCGGCACAGAATCTGCCCAGATTAAAGGTGCGGGGACCCAGACTTGATGTCTCAAAGGGAGGTGTGACAAAGAGTAAGTGGCCCTCTTTCATCCGTCAAGGGTTGGCAGACTGCATGGAGGATCTCCATTATCCTAGAGGAGAAGCTGCGTGGGAATGAGTCACCCACAATTCCTGTCTTTGCTCTGAGCTGCAGCTCCCTGAAAATGTGATCGACTTAGCTTGGAGTGTGGTTGTCTTGGTAAGGGGATGGCACCCCACTTGGATAACAGTCTCACCGAGTCTACAGGTAATAGGGATGGGAAGTTCCCCAGCAAAGAACCAAGGTGCTCGCACCACAAAAAGAGTCCACCAGCAAGGTCTGCTTCAGATACTTGCTTGCTCACTTGTTTTTCATCGATTTTTGCCAAATATGAAAGTCTCCACGCAAGCCCACGCTCCCCCACCTCCACTGCACTTCCTCCCTCCATTCCCAACATGCATTTTCCGTTGTTCTCGTTTTATGCAAATCACTAGAATGTCTGAGCTGGGCCAGGTTCTGCGGAGGAGAGATCAGAGACGAGCCAGACCTGGACCTGGTTCTCGAGCTGCTCACTCCCTCGTGGGAGGACGCAGACCCAAGAGAGAAAGCAAGAAGCCCCACCAAGAGGGAGAGATACGTGTTCTGGAAATGGGGAGGAGAGAGATTTCTTCCAGCTGCACCCTAATCACATACTGCCTTGCAACCTCTCTTGTATTGTTGCCTTGTCTGGTTATTAACGCCTCCATCGTGGAGCAGCAGCCAACCAGTCGTGTTGGGTAATTCATGATGCTGCGCCTTCCTCTGCAGCAAGGCCAACGGCTCCTCCCACACAGGGGTGAGAACTCCGAAAGAAAGACGGGGGTTACTATCCAGAGACTCAACAAACATCTGCTTGAAGAGACGAGGGCATCCATAAATAGTCATCTCAACATAGCCTGTAACAACACAGTCCTTTGCTAACTAATGAGAGTATTAAACACAATGAGAAATTCAAAGTGATCAAAGACGAGCTTTCTCTATGTCCAACTACTGTTACTGCTATTGAAAATGGAAAATGGGCTTTCTATTGGCATCTCCTGCTTCCAGTTACTGACCCCTCAAGAACCCATCTAGTGACCCCAGCTTTTACATCCCTGCAGGGCAGTTCTCCTCTGTCACATGAGGTGACTAGGAGGTGGGGCCAATTCAACACCACCTAACAACTACAACAGCAGTTGGGTGTGGTCTTTAACCTTTGCTACGTAGAAATGTCAAAAGTAGTAAAACATGCTTTGGGGTTGATTCCAGAAAGACCCTTTCCATGCAGTGTAGTCATCACAGATAATCTCATGGAAATGTGTGTGTGTGTGTATATGCATGTGCATGCACGCAAATCTCAGAGTATTGCTTTTGGGTACAAAATCCAAGTCTTTCTGAGAACTGTACTATGCTTTCCTTTTTGTTTCTTATTCTGAAATGACAGGTGGCTAGGAAATATCGTCTTCCCAATTGTAATTATTTCCCCCCAGTTTTTCTCCATGAAACAGCAATTACCCTCATGCATAATCTTTCTAAGTAGTTATTTGCTGGCTCCGAAGAACATAATCACATTGAGTGCATTCATCTCCTATGCTTCAGAGCCCCTCTCAGCATGAATCTTCTCCTGCGTATAATTTGTAGCACAGTAACTAACAGAGCACTTAAACATTAATTTTTTTAAGCAGATCAAAATTTCAGATGAAACACTCATCTCTTTTACAAAGGGTAGTTCTCCGGGATCTTATCCAACAGCGCCTCCCTAAAGAACTGAGAAATGCAACTGCTGTGTTTCAAATATTTCCCAAGGGCAAAGCAGAGTGAAATACCGCCCCCCCCCCCCCCCTCAAAAACCAACAGCCACCACCTTTTCCCTCTGGTCTGGTTTTGAATACCTCACACTTACAGTGGACAAAACCGTTTACAAAACAGGCCAGTGGTCTGCTCTGTGGTGAGTCAAAGCCCTTTGTGGTTTGTTTTCTAATGCTGGCAACATCAAAAAGCAATCTAGTATATGTTAGAAGAAAAAACTTAGATTATTTTTGACAATTGAACACATGAATCGAGTTGTGGCTAAATAACAGAAAAATAGATGCAGATATGACATTGTTAGAGAAATGACTCTCTCTAAGCTTGGAAGCAATAAACAAGGACAAAACCAAGACATTGTATGAATTTTCCATTGTTATACACACGGTGATTTTGACAGGCAGTGTTATTTTACCAGAGATCATTCCCGACTCATTTAAAAGAAATTCTTTCTGGCTGTGGACATTCAGCGATGAGCATTTCACTCACAGCTATTCTCCAAAGTCAACAAGCTAGAAAAATGCATGATCTGGTTGCACTGAGTGTAGTGTGTGTGACCCAGCTCCTCTCTAGAAAGTTCCCTAGCCAATCTTCCTCTGACACCGGCCTGAATTTCACGGGGGCCTTGACCTTCTCCTTAGCTTATTACTATTGCGTTCTCCAGAAATCCACCATGAAGGGAAGTCCAGTATGAAGGGGAGCATTCGCTACTCTGCTTTTGCTCAAACATATAACAAAGATCTCACCCACGATGAATTTCTGGACAATGACATCATTGCTAGAAAATACCATGGAGTGGAGATAAATGAATGATAAATGGCAGGCTATTGAATTGCTGGAGATAGTTGCTGCCTTAGTGTCCTAGGATTGCTGAGAAAAATACCACCCAGGGGTATTTTTGGTGGCTGGAAGCCTGAATCCAGGGCCCTTCTCTCTGCCCTGACTCCCAGGGACGATCTTTCCCAGTCACTTCCAGCCATAGGAGGCCTCGGGCACCTCTCGTTACTCAACTTGTCATTGTTTTCCCACATGGTATTCCCCCACGCGGGACTCTGTCTTCTACCTGTAAAACACCACTCAGAAAACATCCATACCCACCCTGCTCCAGAGTGACTTTATTAACTTCACCGATAACATCTTCAAAGAAAGCTCTTGCTTCCAAACAAGGTCACATTCACAGTCTGATTCATAACACGCTCCCAGTCAGGATTTCTCTCCAAGTGGTTTTGAGAGAATTGCAACTCTGACTATGAGTGACAGTATTCCAAGAAGTCAGTGCCCTTGTCACGGACTAATACTTTCCCCCTTTAAATGAGATAGAATGAAGCAAACAGACAAGAGGCAAAGGATGCTGGTCCGGAGTCATACGGGGCTAGAGTTCCAAGTCAGTTCATGTGAATTCCTGACAGGGCATCAAATGATCTTTCCAGGCAGGGTCAGCAACAGGCCAAGGTGGACAATGGCCCCCGTTCTACAACTAGTCCTACAAATTCTACAACTAGTTCTATACATTTTCTACAAGTAGAACATTTCCATGATCTTTTATCTTTCTTTCTACAAGTAACTTACGGGGGGGAATCACCAAATGGTTTGCCAAGGTGGCTGGATGATTCTCCATTCCCTTCAGCAATGTATGGGGCCACCCTGGAGAGGGATTCTGCATTATCCTTGCAGGCTTTTACATGGTGAGGAGAAAAGGAGATGGGGGGATGGTAGACAGACAGGCAACTAACAATGACTGGCACACATATTGACGACTCGTTATTATGCAGTAGCCGGGTTGTTCTATGAAGCCACAGCAGAGAAGTCCACTGGGCTCATAAAGGATCTTCTTGGGATATGTTGGCATGGGACCAGGTTCATGCATTCATGCATTCATCCACTCATGTATTCACCAAACACTTAGATCCTATTATCTTTGAATCCCATTTCCCCCACAAACTTTTGGAAGTCCCCTTTGTACACCTCAGAAATAATGGCAGTGGTTCCTAGTCTCCTCTTTCTGACAGGTGCCCTCGAGACATTTCCGACGCATAGTGATCCTTTGCACAACCGAATGAAACACTGCCCAGTCCTATGCCATCCTCACAGTGGCTCCTGTCGGTGCAGCCATGGTGCCAATCCATCTCCTGGAGGCCCTTCCTCTCCTTTGTTGTCCCTCTACTTTTCTAAACAAAATGTCCTTCTCCAGGGACTGGTCTCTCCTGATAGCCTGTCCAAAGTATGTAAGACTAGGTCTCGTCATCCTTGCCTCTAAAGAGCACTGAGGCCTTAAGATTACTTCTTCCAGGACAGATCAGTTTGTCCTTTCAGGGGCCCATGGTACTTTCACTATTCTTCTCCAGCACCACGATTCAAATGCATCCATTCTTCTGCAGCCTTTCTTACTCAATGTCCGACTTTCACCGGCATCTGAGGCCATTGAAAATACCATTGCTTGGGTCAGGCTCACTTTAGTCCTCAAAGTAACATCCTTGCTTTCCCTACTGGGTTTCCCCCCTTCTTTTTTATTTATTTACAACAATTTTATTGGCACCATCCTTGCTTTTGAATACTCTAAAGAGCTCTTGTGCAGCAGATTTACCTAATGCAATTGGTCTTCTGTTCTTTTGGCTACTGCTTCCATGAGCATTGATTTCAATCCAATCAAAACGAAATCCAAAAAAGACAAATTGGTGAAATTCTTTCCTCATCCAACTCTCTGACAAGATCAATTCTGTGGCCCCTTGTGGTAGTTATATCTGTTGTCAATTTGAGACTTAAGAGTGAAGGGGCAGAGTTTAGCCTGTCAATCAGGTCACAGCTTGATGACCTCATTTGTAGGTTGTAGGCACTAGGGAGATTCAATAGCTTGCTGTAGACGGACTCACACACACATTCCCTGAGAGACATTCCTGTTGAGAAGACACATGGAGCTACGCTAGAACCCTGGAGCTGAAGGAGTCATGTGGAGATCCCTGTCAGTGCTAAGATGCTTCCACTGCCACTGGATCCACAAGACTTCCCATCCACTGGTCTGTGATCTTCCTACATTTGGTGTCACTGCATGTGTTGCATGAGTCTGAAGAGGAATTTATAGGTTGGTATTGAACATATGGGCTAATATTGGACTTATGGACTTGATCTGGACTGGGCTGGGATGTTTTCTCAATATTCAACTACTCTTGTATATAAAGCTTTTTCTTATACACATATGAGTGTCTATGAATTTGTTTTTCTAGTCTACTCAGACTATCACACATCCCTAATGGAGAAGCCACCCTCTTCTCTCTCCGTGTTGCACCTGAAGAGGGGGCTCCGCTCCCGACCATAAGCAGATGGGACAATCTTTATCTGTCAGGAAGAAAAACTACTCCAGGGGAATTTCCTTTGGAAGGTCTTCTCTCACCCTGTTCTGGAGCTCACCAGCCACTTTCAAACAGAACCAAGTTCTTCATCCTCTGGATGATCAATCTACCCTGTGTGCAGGGCTGATCATGCGGGTTTCAAATTTTTATTTGCCTCCTCTACCTGATGGGCCAAGCTAATAGCTGATGGCATTTTCAGACTTTGATGCCCAGCACAGGACTGCCACGCAGTCACTATTGTGAAATGTCTTCTGGAGGAAGAAGCCAGGGAAGGAGGAGGAAAGTTTTGTCAGTAGTGAGAGGGTCCTGCAGGTCGGACAGATGGCTTAAATCCAAGAGCGTCAGCATCCTCGTGGGGGAAGGATCTGCTTCAGTGATCTCCAGATCCAGGGCTGAGTCCTTAGAAGCCTCATCTTCTCTCCTGTCGCACTGTCTTCCTGCAGAGTCATCTCAGAAGGCCTGTGAACCTGCTTCACTGGACACGAGACACGGCTGCTGCCTTCTTACCTGACACCGCTTCTTGCTGGGAACAACGGAGCTCTCACAAATGTGCTTGTTAGTGCACCTGTCGCTGCCCAGGTGCGAGTCTGGCTTCTCCATGGTGAATTGGGCTGCCTTCTTCGCAGCTTTGATGTGAGTGTGGTTCATGTTGGTGGATCACTGATTTTTAAAAAAGCCTGGATTTCAAACAAAAACCAAACTGATACCAGCCAACCTCGCTGTTGACTGCTTTGGCTGCTGAAGGAGAAAGGAAATCACATGGACGGAATGTGCAGTATTCAGTGGTGATATTTAGAGTTCACGGCCCTGAGAAGGTTCCTCTTACCTACCTGAGGGGAAGAAATGCAGGTTTGTGGTGTCGATGTGTAAGGCTACCCCTGGCATCTGTAGATAACTATGTGAGATCATCCTGGGAAAAGGAGAGCAAGAATGGAATGGAAATGTTCACATTACATTTCGCAAACACCAAGGTACGTGGCCTCAAATGCAAACTGCCGGAGTCTATTACAGCCCCGGAATGCCCATGTGATGTTGGCATTACTAGTATTACATGAAAAATAAAATTCCTTCCTACTGAGTCTATTTTCGGGTCTGCAACTGACTGTGGCAGTCAGTAAAGCTATCATTGTTCTGTAACCTTTGTGTTAAAAATCCATTGCTAATCATGATGCTTGCTATTGTAGTTAAATGCTGTCTAATCCGTGTCTATACGAATCCCAGTGGTGTAGTGGCTATGCATTGGGCTGGGAACTGCAAGGTCTGAAGTTAGAAACCACCAATCACTTCATGGGAGAAAGATGGAACTTTCTACTCCCGTAAACAGTTACAGTCTTGGAAACTCACAGAGGCAGTTCTACCCTGTCCTACAGGGTCGCTATGAGTCGGCCTCGACTCAGTGGCTGTGCATTCTGTTGTTTTTAGTCAGTTCCCACTCATAGCCACTCTATGTGCAACAGAAGGCAACACTGCCCCGTTTCGTGCTATCTGCATAATCCTCGCTACGTTTAAACTGAATCGTGGAGACACCGTGTCCATCCATCTCACTGGGGTCTACCTCCTCTTCACTGAGCCTGTACTTTTCCAAGTCTGCTGTCCTTCTCCATGGATTGGTTCCTCCTGACAACATATCCGAAGGCCCTGAGAGAAAGTCTTGCCACCCTGAATCCTATGGAACACGCTGGCTGTACTATTTCCAGACAGATTTGATCCCTTCATGTATGACATCCTTAATGTCATTTCACAGTTTATCTGGTCTTGGGTTATTAGTTCCCTGTATCAAATCTATTCTTAAATGGTCTCTAAATTCAGGTGGTCATCTCTATCATCAAGGCCATGTTTTCTTACTACTGATCCCTCTTCTTTGTTCCCACCTGTCCCATTCTAATCGCCAGTAATTACCAATGCATCTCGACCGCATGCGTCATTCATTTCAAACTGCAGAAGTTCATGAAATTCAATTTCTTCATCTTTGGCATCAGTGGTTTTTACATAGTAACTAGGAATCGTCATGTATTGACTCCTCTTCTTCACCTCTATCTCTCTCACTCAGCAGCGTTGAGTCAATGTTGCTTTAGCACACAGATGTCTAGGATTCATCCGTGTGCTCCCCATTTCAGATTTGATGACTTCTCATTTCCCTAGACTCATACTATGTACATCCCTGCCACCGAAAGACAAACAAACAAACAAACAAACAAACAAGCAAGCAAGCAAAACCCCACCAAACTCAATGCCATTAAGTCCATCTGACTCATAGCAGCCCTATAGGGCAGGGTAGAACTGCTCTTGTGGCTTTCTGAGACTATGTGGTAGTTACATAATCTAGTGCCAATTCAAGATTTGAGAGGATTATGAGTGAAGGGGTGGAGTCTAGTCTGTCAATTGGTCATAGCCAATGAGGCCTCTGGGTGGGCATGGCCTTTGCCTGAGGATTCGGGGAACTCCTGTATTTCCTCCTTGGAGGTGGGAGACACACTCTCTCTGCCACTCCCTGAGAGATGCTGTAGTAACAAGACACATGGTACTACACTGATAGACCCCATGCCCTGGGAACTGGAGGAGCCACGTGGCGACACTTGTCAGCACTGAGATGCTTCTACCGCCAATGGATCCATAAGACTTTGCACCTACTGGCCTGTGATCTTCCTGCATTTGGCATCACTTCATGTGTTTTGTGAGTCTGAAGAGGACTTTATAGATTGTTATTGGACATATGGGCTAATATCGGACTTATGGACTTGATCCTGGGATGTTTTTTCAATATTCAACTGCTCTTGTATATAAAACTCTTTCTTATACACAAATGAGTCTTCCTGGATTTGTTCTCTAGTTTACCTGGACTAACACAGATTGTAATTCTTTAAAGGTGTAGAAAGCCTCATCTTTCTCCCATGGTACATTCCACATACTTATTAATGGAAGTTTGCAGCTATCTCTTCTCAGCTTGAGCCATGTTTGCCATCAACGTATGAAGGCCCTGAGACATTACTTAATTCATAGCATGAGGACGATTTGAGGAAGCAGGTCTTCCCCACTTATAGGCGGAGCTTCTAAAAGTTGGTGGGATTTTTTCATTTTTCCAAGGACTCTTTGAAAGTTGCTCATATTCTCTGAGTACTTTCCAACCCAAGTGGCTCATCTTCTAGCCCCGTGCCACTTTTATTCTTCAGGTTTCCATGACAAGTGGTTCCAAATGTCCATCACTAGATTCTCCTGCCTACTTTGTCTTAGTCTGGAAGCTCCACTGAAGCCTGCCCATCATGGGTGACCCACCTGGCATCTGAAAGACTGGTGACAGAGATTCCAGCATCACAACAACATGCAAGCCATCACAATACGACAAACTGAAAGCCGAGTGGTAGAATTAAGATAATGGAAGCGTGGGATTCGAATTCCTGACTTTGAAAGCTGGACATTACCTGTCCTTTTAAGCTTGATCTCTTAAGTCTCCAAAGCTTCATTCGAGGAAAACTCGTTACTCAACATCTCTTCCTCAGTCCCAAGCTCTGGCTGGCTGCTCTCTCTGCTGCAATGCCCGCCACGACTGTACGCTTCCTGAACTCTTCTTTTGCAAGAGTTCTTTGAAGGCAGAAACTAGGTCTTACACAATATGTAGGACAGAGATCTCTAGAAAGTCTCCACAATTTTCTGTCTTTCTTTCTTTAAAATCATTTTATTGGGAGCTCTTACAACTCTTGCTACAATCCATACATCAATTGTATCTGACATATTCATACATATATTCCATCGTTCTTTTCTACACATTTATTTTTCATTGAGCCCTTGGGATCAGCTCCTCTTTTTTTCCCTCCCTCCCAACTCCCCCCCTGCCCCCCGCCAACCCTCATGGCCCCTTGATAGACTGTGGTTTGTTAATTATTTTCAAATCTCACACTGATGGCTGTCTCCCTTCCTCCCTGATTTCTGTTGTTCTCCCCACTGGATGGGGGTGTGTGATT